CCATCAACAACGTTCATCTACTTATCTCTTGAGAAAAAAAAACGGAGCTGTTTGCGTTTTTCAACATTTTAAGTCCGTATCAGACTGAGATTAGAATTTAACCAATCAAAGGTTTTATACCTAATATTGATTTCCTTTCTTCTGATTAGTTAAATTCCAATCCAATTAAATTCTTAATTTCAATCTGATACGAGCATTAGCGTAAAATACTCTGATTATACAATACTATTTAAAATAAAATAAAAATTATTTTTCTTATAAATAAATTTACAGTACAGTATTAATTACAGTTTTGCAATAATACATTTTTACGACAGTAAAAATTGATTTATCCAACATAAATCCGATCCTCTAACATGTTACTATAACTTTTCCTTTAATATATAATTAATATGATACTTCTGCACATTAATAATGTTGACTAAAACAAGCGCATAATGTATATCAAAAAGGTGATCTATATCATTTTGGAAGGAAAAATTTTGTTAGATCAAAGAGATACTTTAATTTCTTTTTATGACCGAATGCTTTTGCGATGAAACGACTTTTACAAACTTATATTCTCGAAACGTATCTTGGGTTTAAATTGAACTTTGAATTAAAATCTAAAAGTTAAATGTAAGACGGCAGATCAAATTTATTGAGCAATCGCTCTTTTATATGCGCATCGAATATATTTTCAAGCAAATACGAAATGAATCCATGAAAAATCCATGAATTAAATTGTTCTCGAAAAGCGATCCAAATTACGTTTGAAAATCTTAAACATTTCTTTCTAAAATTAATGGATATGTATGTTTTTAATTAATCACTTTGAGGTAAATATTGTAATGTACTATTCAATTGACAAATGTGTAAGCAATACAAATAACTATTTAAAAAAATAATTTAAAGGATTAATTTAAAGAATTGACATTCGTAACTTTAAAATTTGTAATGCTTAGAGTAAAGTTAAATAAAGTTAAAGATTATTTATCAATTATTTTTCAATTATTCGATTTACCAAATAGTTTCCAATTATATTTAGTTAAATATAAGAGTTTTTTTTTAAATTACTGTATACGAATTTAATATCAAAATTGATAAATTCATGAAAGACATATATACATTTTGCAATCCAGGCATTTATTAAGTTTTTACATTTGCCTATTGAATACACCATTTGGAATTTGCCAATTTTGATATCTAGTTCACATTGGCCTAAAATATTCTTAAATTAAATATAGTTATAATTTATAATTATATTTATATTAAAAATCATTTGTTAAATCACATTAATGACAACATAATTTACAACTTTTCTACAGCAGTTTTTATTAATGTAGTGCTAATAATGAATATGTCAATAAAAAAAGAAGCTCTAGTTTTCATGATACACTAATTGTAAATTTGATTTGATAAATTTGAATTTAATATAAGAATTAAATAATATCACTGTCCAATATTATATTGCATTACGAATAATCATTTCCGATGTATTTTTATTTATTGAATATGAATCCATTATCCAAATTTGATCATCGCGTCACAACTTTAAAAGAAATAGTATCAAAATGATATAAAAATTACGATTTTGAGGGTCTTTATGACGTTGTAGCACTGGTAATAGATATTATTTCTAAATTTTATTTTTATTACACGAAAGTATCAATTTTTAGCTTTAAAATGCATTTTTTTTGTTTTTCGTTTTAATAAATCATTTTTCATTTTCGAGATACATTAATTTGAAAAAAGTTATTTTCCCATGTAAATAATTACACAGAAAAAGAGAGTTATTATTAAATTAATATATCTTGAAAACAAAAAATTAAAAGAATCATAACGCATTTTAATATTAAAAGTTGATACTTTTATGTGTAGCATTAATAAAAATATAAAAAAACTTATTCTCGGTATCACAACGTTATAAATACCTTCAGAATCTCGTCGTTTTGTATCTTTGATCATTTTTCTTAAAAATGCGAACTAATAATCAAAATTGAATATCGGATTCGTGTTTAGTCGACAAAAATACATCGCAAATAAAATTTACATTCGCGATACAAAGGAAAAGCAGGTTAAATTTTGTTCTGTTATTATATTCACACACACACACAAAGCCAATATCCTTTAAATAAAGAAAGACTTTTATAATTGATAAATAATCATGGATTTTATTTAACTTTTCCCTTGAATATTTCCACAATATTAAAATCATCAAAAACATGTAATAATGTAAGTAAATATTTACTTTAACCGATGTGTATGTTTTATGGTCACATGTTTTTTTTTATTGCAGTATATAACACTATTATACATTATACATACAATTTCCCCAGATTATACTTAACGTATGACGTCCTTCGTCTTTTTATTATTGCTATTTAATTATTATGAAATACTTGATTCTTTTTCAAAGAATTACTAAATTAAATATTAGTTAATTATTATATATAAGCTAATGATTTCCTTTATTAATCCCGTTTTTAATTTTTCATTCATGAATTCAATACTTTCAAAATACGATTTAAAAGACTCACTTTGACGCGCCGGTCGGCTACGGATGCTAGATGAGAGCGGATGATCAGTGCAGCAATCAGGAAGGAAGCAGTCACGATGAGCACGTACTGAATTCTTCTTTCTTCGTCTCGTTGGCGATTCGAGGTCCCTATGATGTACCAGGAAGAGTGCCAGAATCGAGCGCCGAGAAGTCACTGCGATCGCGGTTTGCGGTCGAGGGAGAAAAGCGTCCAGCGACAGCGACGGCGACGGCGATGACGGAAGTGATATGATGTACCAGGAAGAGTGCGTGCCAGAATCGAGCGCCGAGAAATCACTGCGATCGCGGTTCGCGGTGGAGTGTTCCGAGGGAGAAAAGCGTCCAGCTACAGCGATGGCAACGATGAAAGTGAGGGGCGCACAACGAGAACAACCCTCTTTAGCTGCTATCACCACTCTCGCGTCTCCTCGCCACGGCATCGGGCGCGGCGGAAACGCGCCGTCGCGGTGCCGCGTAGCGAATACGCACGCGCCACAACTCTGGAGGTGGCCTCCTGTAGTCGCCCTATGTGTACATACACATACGTTTTCCTGCACACGGGTTAAGTCCACTTCGGACTACGATAACAGCCGACAGGGTGGGACGGTTTACTCTTGCATTAGATAAGGGATCGTTTCAACGGCCTACCCCATCGGCCGTTGAAACGATATTTCTCTAAATTCCGTCTATCGTCTTTCACTTTGCATTTTTTCTAGCCGCTGCAAGAATGTCGAAATATTCGATTACTATAACTTTTTGTATCATTGATGAAAGTATTATGTAAAATTAAGTTAATATAAAATAAAAAAGATTGCATTTTCTATACATATGGTAGGCGCTATCAGATTCTAACAATTTTTAAATATCAAAACAATTGTTTAATAGGTTAATCCACTTCTGCATAAAATCATCATAATATTTCACACGCTTGACATTCTTAATATTCTCCATCTAATTTTTGCATCTCGAAGTTCTTATTTTAAATTTAATCGGGAGATGAAGACTTGCCACTTGTCAAATCGTGCGATTAATCGAGTAAGTCTCGAAAAGTAGCACAATGAGACACCTACACATACGCAGATCCGAAATTTGTCGGATTTCTTTGTAACAGATGATCGTTATCTTGTTTTCACGAATTCATGGTCTAATATTCTTTACGATAAACAGAGACATGAGTTTGAGGAGCCTCGCGAAGAACTCTCTTTTGTCAGACAATGCAGATTCAATTAAAAGTCTCTTCTGAGTGTGAAAACTTTTCCAATCAAACTGATACGTGCTAACGTGCCCTTTTTCGCCGCAAGATTTTTTTTCCGGGCCCAGGACCCTAACACGATCGGATAGTAATTATGTCGGTATCAATTTAACAGTTTTCGACTTTCGTTCACTTCGCCTCGCGGAATAATTGATGAAGAGTCAATAGCACGAGGTTTCTTCGTTCGAAATAGATCAAGTAAAACAATGTTTATTGAATTTTCGCAGTTTCCTTTTCCCAATGTGAATTTTGTCGCAAAAGTAAGTTCTAACTTATTATCGTACTGTATTTAATAGCATTTATCTATTAAACTTCTTTTTGAAAAACATATTACAATATTTATAAGCTGTTTTTATTTTACTTTACAAGATGTATATAAGTACATATTATTTGTTATATTTCTTAATTATAATTACTAAAAATACAAAGCTAATAGCAGAAGAACAATGTGAAAAATCTTTTGCTGTGCTGAGAGATAAAAAGTGAGCGGGAGATTTCACGATACCTAAAATCAATAATTTCAAACAGGACACATTCTGTGGCGTTGCGGCAAAATTGCACGATGCATTTCCTCAGCCTCATATAAGCCAAGATGTACTTGGCTTCGTCTAACGTGCTAAAAGTGTGTCCATGCCTTTAAAGACTACACAACTTTTCCACAAAAAGTTCTTTCTCCTAGAAACTCGCGAGAACTTTCCTAGAAATGTGCGAGAAACAGAATCACATTTGAGGGTATGTGTTTGCAGAACGATATGACGTGACGCTCGTATAAGCGTATTAAGCAACTCTTTTTGGATTTTTCACGATTTCCATTTTCCTGAAATTATAACGAAATCAAGCGCATTTTTGAAATTTAATTCGATGAATTTAATTTAAAAAATGTCGTGGAGATCGTATGTTTGCATTTTTTTTACATTATCAGAGAAAAAAAATTCCTTCAGCAAATACTTGTTCCTTTTCGTAGCCTTGCTTTCCTTTTTTATTTTTTTATTTTCACATCTACTGCCACTTTAATATCCATAGTCCCCGAGTTCGTTTCCACGGTAGCCCGCAGCGATGGATCAAACTGTTTAATTTGCCCCAAAGGTTTGCAGAGTTACAGAGTTTTTCTTCTTTTTCTTTCTTTACAGAGTACAGTGTGTCGATGTAATGCGCGTCCGAGAATGTGCTAATAAAGTTGTGAAAAATGTCTGCTTATTTGTAAAGTTTAACTGTTTGTGCACATAACAATGTATGCGTATTTTATGTACGTACATTCAATATTCATTATATGTCTACTGAACGATTGTTGAATATATTCTTTCTACTAGCACATTCAACAAGCAATACAATTATAATGCTTTAAAATACTATAAACATACATAATATTAACAATTTTAGTTGCTATTTTATTAAATTAAAATATATAGGATTATTATTAATAAATGGTAAAGTATACAGGATAAATCACGAATTAATATCTTAAGAATTATTCGAAAAAAATTCTTAATAATAAAATTTGTGTAACAAACATTGTGTAAATCGTTTGCATTTTTTAAAATAAATGTTTAAAATTAAAAATATTTTAAGATTACTTGAGAAATGTAATTTACCTTAACATCTATTACGGAAAATAGCACTATTAATAAAAAAATCTCTTAAAAGTACTATTCAAAAATTAAAAAATTAACGACACTTTCAAATATACATTATTAAAATGCATTGTGCATTTTTTCTTTTTTGTCAGCCACCAATAATTTTTCCAATATCTTGATTGATGCTAAAATATTAATTTATAACAAATTAAGTGACGCGTCTCATATATTAATAAAAAGTGTTACATAAATTGCATATTAAAATAGTTATTCATTGAAGTTAATTATCATTCGCTAAATTTGTTTTATTGTCTTTTGCTCTTTCATTATTGATTTTCGATAATATATTTTTAAAAAGTCAATTTAGAAAATTAAATACATACAAAATTGTTCCTTGTTAATCATTTCGAGCGCATCTATCCTGCATCTGTTCCTCTGGAAAGTCAGTTAGTATTCTGACTGTGCTGCTGATGTTATACAGAATTTAAGAAAATAACAGAGAGTAATCTTGAAGTCAAGCTTCTTCACAGGAACATGTGATAAATTGGCTTATCAAACAGGTGTAGATTGACACGACATATTTATCAAGTGAATATATTTAACACACATTGAATTTGTCGACGTTGAACATAAAACGTATGTACAAGAACTTGCATAGAAGTGCATGAACCTTACTCCGTCGTGTGAAATATTCTTTACATCGTGAAACGTACATGATTCTGTCATTCTCGCGCAGTTCCTATCAAAATTTCGAAATTCTTTTCGCGCTTCATAGTTTCATGAATCACTATGTTCTCTAATACCTTTAAAGTAAAGTGTCATTCTAAAGAGTGAAATCTCACTCTTAAAGATTGAAAATTGAGCCATTTTTTTTCAAAGCTCTCTAAAAAATTATATATACATAATTTAAATTTATAAACTAAATTTAAACTATGTTTATACATTTGTTAACAAAAACAGCTACTCGTAACAAACAATGAATGAAAAATTGATTCGATTTGTTGTAGAAAAAAAAACAAATGGAAACGTCGATTGGATCGAAAAGTGCTGTCGGATTTTCACCGGCGGTGTGTGAAACTATCCTAGAAGTCCTGGAGGAATGTGCGAACTCATTGGCCGTTTATCGAAACATCTTACGACAACAATCGACAATAGAGAATGATGACGCCATTAATATTTTCCCAAATGTTAAGTATGTCTTGCAGATATAGTGTAATAAACGCGACTGTATTATGATTTGTCTGCTTTGTATATATCCACAGGATTTCGGAAACGTCTATTCTGCAAACGCTTGCCAGAGGCGCCGCGGAAATGACGGATTCACGAAGGGAGGCTGCACGTGAAAAGCTTCTACGAGACAGGTTGGCTTGTTTAATCTGTCCATAAACCTGTTTGAAAGACCGACGTGTGATAGTGGCGGATCAGCCAATAGACTACGATACAATAGAATCTCAAAATTAAATTAATTACATAATTAATAAATTTACATTTGCTTTATGAAGAAATATAAAGAGCAAACAATTTCTTCCTTTATTTGTCACATGCAATATCGAATTTAAATCGTATGCACATTAAAATATTATGATAATAACAGTTACTATATTTTTTATTATTCTTTATGTGCTTCGTTTCAAATAATTATTATCCCCACTGTCCTCTAATTAAACGTAATTTAGTACGTTTTTGTCATTTAAATATGGAGATTTTGTATGTAAAACATTTATTTACTTTAATTAATAAAAGATTTTAATAATTCCATTTATATTAGTTGTCTTAATAATCATGAAATCTAAATATGTTTATTAATATTGTGACCGAGAAAATTTTCAAACTATTTCAATCCGTTACTGTTAAGCAATACTATTAATATATCATGCAGCTCTAATAAGTAAATTCAATTATAAATAATTCCATTCATCCTCTCATATATCTTTTACATTCGATTTTTTTTTTTTTTTTGAGAAAGGATATATATCCAATTTAATTATTTTTAAAAGTTTGAAGTCGCTAAATATAAAAACAAGGTCAAAAATATAAAAATCTAAAAAATGACGAATCAAGTATACTGCAAGCAAACAATAAAATATCTTCAAAGTCTAACAGAAATTTATCGAGACTTTTTCATGATCGTAAGATTAGATTTAACTTATAAAATAAAATATATATTAATAAGCACTACGCAGTAAAGCTTACAAATTTTTAGCATATAATTTATGTATACTTGCCAGCAAAAAGGTTGCAACACTTTTTTTTCGATGAGTTTCGAAACTTAGCTTTGCTTATAGAGCGATTGAATGTAAATGAGATCTATAAATGAGAATCAATCCTTCGGTTAGTAGGCTACATTCTAAAATTCATCGAAAAAAAATGCTGCAACCTATTTGCTGGCGAGTATACATGTACATATTACAGGGTGCGTCCAGACTACTCGAAAGCATCGAATAAACTCGAGCCACGAGCATTTCGACTAACTTTCATTGTTTTTTACCAAGCCGCGTAACAAATGTTTATTGAAATGCTCGCGGCTCAAGGTTCGGTTCGAGTTTTGGCTCGATAATCTGGATGTTTCCTTTTACATATCCATTGTATTGATTAATAGCATTGTTATTTCTCTTTGCCTTTAAAATGAAAATTCGTGAGTTTTACATTATATATAATACAAAAATATCATCAAAAATATACATTATACATACGATATATTAGCATACGATATATCATAAGATTATATTAGCAGAATGGTGTTTGAAAAATTATTACACGAAAGTAAACGCTGCACACTATGTCGTCTTTTATAGTTATTTGATTAATTTCATATCTTACTATGCAAATAATTTTTTATATTTTAATATAAAATTTATTACAAAATTATATGCTTTTAATTAAAATTTAAGCAAAATTCTTCTTTTATTAACCATATTTGACTTTAATTGTTCAATACTTTTCAGAGATATGATTTTTTAAACATGCTAAGATGTATGTACATATTTTACTGGACGTCCAAAGATTAAGGTTCAGTTTTTCATTGTCTGGATAACTTGTGGGTAAGCTTAACCTGATATTTCACACATTCAAGAGGCTTCATCCATGATATCGTCATAAATGAAGCCTATTGGATAAAATATTAAGTTAAGCATAACCACAAATTAACCAGATAATGAAAAACCGGGCCTAAGAGATATCATTTACGTTGCAGTTTATATGTGTGCAGTATAATAGAAGATTTGAAGCGGGAAATTAGCGAACATGGAACCATCGATGTATTAATCAAAGAAATCGAGAGGATTACGTCACAAAAAGAACAGGAGCATCTTTTAATAGAAGAGAATGAAAACATGCAAATAATCGTGGCAGAGTTACGAAAAACAATTGCCGATAAGAAAACAGCGAATGAAATGGAAGAAGAGCGTTTAACAAAGAAGCTCACTTTGACACGGGTAAATGTTTCACAAGTCGGAACGTTTACAAATATGCGCAATAGTGATAAATCATGAAATTTTATCGTTTAATCATTATATGTATATAAGTAGAGTCACATTAAAACGAAACTTTGGTTGGCGAAATTTGGTTTAGGATGAGAAGGAGAAGCTAAAACTAATTAAGGATGTGGAGATAAAATATGTTCGAGTGTGGGAAGCGGCACGTCGGGAGCAGTACGTACTACATTACGAATTGAAAATGGACGAATTAAAAAAGACATTGAATAATCATTGCGTACGCGAGAGCAATGAAAATCACGTGAATGATGTATTAACGCGTTATCTGACGCAACGTATAGCGGTGAGAATAAATTCTTTCTCAACTTCTTTTTGTTTAAAACACGCAAAAATATCTTATAGACATCTTTTACCTTTTACTTAAACAGTCAAGACTTAAAAGGATCCGTCATTAAAATTAAGACGGACACTTAAGTGATCTTGTAAATTCTTCAGCGAAAAAGCTTAAAAGGTTGCTGAAAAATGTACTTTGAGATCGTAGCCATTTTACGCTTTTTCTTTTCAGCGGATATGTTAACACAAATTTGGCGTTTTTGCTAAATGTCAAGCACGAAATAAATTTCGTTAAATTTAAGATGAGTCACACCTTTGGAAAGATAACAAAAATATTTACTTTGAATTTACAGCTCATCGAGACTTGGATCGAGCAATGGCGACAGAGGTATGATCGAGAAAAGAAAATGTATGAGAAGGAGATCCGTAAAGTACGCAATGAGATTGGAAATGCTCAGAAATACTTGGAGGAACTTACGACGGAGGTAATGATTCCAAAACTGTACGACAGTGCGAGAAATATTTTGATTTCATTCCGCACAACAGGAACAGCGGACGCAGTGCAGTAAATCAATTTGCATTTTGCCGTTTATTATTTTGACCACCGCTACTATGAATCTTAATTGTTGGATAAAGAGGATCCTAAATGGTGCAACAAGCATAATCACTATCTTATTTTGCATTCTCTCTGTGACTATTTGATTTACTACGTTACGTCTCATCTATTGACAATCACGCTCGGATAACTTGGCCCGCGTGAGTTTAAAGGGCACGCCGAAGTTTCGTTGAGTAATCGATAATTCGTGTCAAGAACGTGTCTACTGAGACTCAGAAATGTTAACGATCGTTATTAATAGCTGAAATCTCAAATTCTGGACTCTTGAGATCCCTTCACATGTTTCAGACCGGTTTACGTTTAAGCGAGAACTGAACCATTGACCGGAAGTCTGTAGATTAATTTCCTTTAGCTTAGGTATCTACATATATAGGAATGTAGTAAAATTCATAACAAGAGCTAGAACATGCATTTTATGTGTTTGAATATGTATTTGTAAATTATTTTCTGTATTTTCGAATTACCTTCCAACAAAGAATCACATCTTTTCTTCTTTTTAATTTTTTAAAATTATATTATATTACGAATTTTAATTTGTTTTTATATTCTGAATTATATATGTATATCAATCTCTAATTAACAGTATACTAATACATTAACATTATTAGTAAATTAATATAAAAAGACTCGTAGTAATTTTACAGATCTAATTCTATAAATCGATTTCTTCACAAATCTTGTGAATTTTAATCATTTATAACAAAAATTTATTCCGAATATAAGATACATAATACTTATAATTCCGATTCCTAAAGGAATGTGTAACTGTAATAGAATATATACAATTTTCTACATCAGAGTTGTCCAGTTTAAGCCTTATACCTTTTAATTATACGTTTATATATAATACATATATAACGGACAAGATCGAACCTTCCCTTCTTACTTACGAAGATACACGATTGCGTAAAGCCTGGTGAATCTCATATAAAACACATTTATTTCTGAAAAAGACACTCCAATAAAATATGTCGGTAAATTCGCGTTGAAACTGATACGGTATTTGTTGCAGTATTGCAGTAATCAGGAATTCATCGATACGTACCTCGCGGAGCAGGAGGCACTCCGAAGACAAAAGGAGCACGAGGATCATGTGCGCCACAGCATAATTAAGATACAAGCCTGGTGGCGAGGTGTTATGGTGCGTCGAAAACTGGGGCCGTATCGATCTGAAGAGAAAAAGAAGAAAAAGCCTGTTAAAACAAAAAAATAATTCCTCTTTCTGCTCGGTTGAGTTACTCTTAATCATAATGCATCGTTCTAATTCGTTTAATTTAATCGGGCAAATGGCTATTAAAAATGTATTTAACGTAATTTTTAACAAAATAAAAAAATTAAAAGATTATAGATTCTTCTATATCGTATTTGAAAGTAAGACAAAAAGTTTGGCGAAGATTTAAAACATGAATAAAAAATTATTCAATAAAAAGAGTAGATATATTTTTAAAGAATAATTAATATAAAATAAAAACATTTTCATTTAAACTACAAAATTATATTGTTAAATATAAATATTGACTTCATTAAATTGTTTTATACGTATATGTATATAACGTTTTCACGAAAACTATAATTTTCGAGTCCAGTCACTTTTTATAGAAAATATATATAAACATCTTTATTTATATACGGAAAGAACAATTTTACTGAATGTCTAAAAATTTAATTAAATATAGATCTGAAAATAATTGTATTGGACCATTAAACTAATTACGTAAAAAAGTCAAGCATGAGTATTAATGAACAATATTACAAAAAATTTTGATATTGTTACAACCCAGAGAAAGTTAATATCGATACGACGTCAAAATTAGCTCAATGGCTCTGATAAGGATAAAAAACTCAATGTGTGTTTGAATTTCGATTTATTTTCGACTTGCTTTAAATATATTATAAATATCTTATTACTGTTTTGTTCAATTTTAATACTGTATTATAATTATCGCTTATCCTTTTATAAGTAAAATCTCGAAATGAGATAGAAATGATATCAATATAATATTTTTTTTTATGGAAAAAAACTCATCAGTTCGACATTGATTTGATGAGTCATTTTTTTTATTAATAGAAAGAAAAAAATAATTAATTACATTGGTGAACAGACCGAATAATTGTTCAAATGCAATTGGTCATTTCTCTCTCCAAGATCTCAAATCAATTTCCAACATCGTGAATACAATAAAAACTTCAAAAATAGTAATCAATATCAATATACACTACACACACACACACACACACACACACACACACACACACACACACACACACACACACACACACACACACACAC